GTGTGTGTGTGTGTGTGTGTGTGTGTGTGTGTGTGTGTGTGTATGAGTTTGTGTGTGTGTGTGTGTGTGTGTGTGTGTGTGTGTGTGTGTGTTGTGTGTGTGTGTGTGTGTGTGTGTGTGTGTATGAGTTTGTGTGTGTGTGTGTGTGTGGTGTGTGTGTGTGTGTGTGTGTGTGTGTGTGTGTGTGTGGTGTGTGTGTGTGGTTTGTGTGTGTGTGTGTGTGTGTGTGTGTGTGTGGTGTGTGTGTGTTGTGTGTGTGTGACTCAACAATCAATATTTGCACCAAAAACTCACTACAGTTGTGACCGGGTGTGGAAGTGTGAATTGCTCATTACTCTAATTTGTTCATGATTGTAGCCATGTATAAACGTAAGTAACCATTCTTACAGGATTCATTACCTTTGTAACTTGTGAGTTCATTACCTTTGTACCTAGTTCAGCTATCAAAACTTTTGGAGTCCAGTCCCTGGACCCATTACGTACCTCTGTAATCTGTAAATACCTTTGTAACTTGTCATGATTGTGACCAGACCTACCTGGAGTTCATTACCTTTGTAAATTGTGAGTTCATTACCTTTGTAAATTGTGAGTTCATTACCTTTGTAAATTGTGAGTTCATTACCTTTGTAAATTGTGAGTTCATTACCTTTGTAAATTGTGAGTTCATTACCTCTGTAACTTGCTCAGCTATCAAAACTTTGGAGTCCAGTCCCTGGACCAATTATGTACCTCTGTAATCTTTTGACTACCGCCCACAGGATGGGTATGGGGTACATAATAAACATATTAAACTAAAAAAAACTTTAACTGATCGGGCCAGTAATAGTCATGGCGATATATAAGAACATAAGAACATAAGAACGAAGGAACACTGCAGAAGGCCTACTGGCCCATGCGAGGCAGGTCCAAGTCCCTACCGGCTTAAGCCAATGCACCCAACCTAGTCAGGTCAGGTCACATTGACTCAAGGGAGGAACACGGCAACCGACCCGTTAGCACAAGCTATCAGGTCTAACTCACACCCACCCACATCTACTCATGTATTTATCCAACCTATTTTTAAAGCTACACAACGTTCTGGCCTCTATAACGGTACTTGGGAGTTTGTTCCACTCATCCACAACTCTATTACCAAACCAGTACTTTCCTATATCCCTCCTGAATCTGAATTTTTCCAACTTAAAACCATTGCTGCGAGTCCTGTCTAGGCTAGATATTATCAGCACACTATTTACATCCCCTTTATTTATTCCTGTCTTCCACTTATAAACCTCAATCATATCCCCCCTAATTCTACGTCTTTCTAGAGAGTGCAGTTTCAGGGCCCTTAGTCTATCCTCATAGGGAAGGTTTCTGATACATGGGATCATCTTTGTCATCCTCCTTTGTACATTTTCCAGAGAATTTATATCCATTCTGTAATACGGTGACCAAAACTGTGCAGCATAATCTAAATGAGGCCTAACCAAGGATGTATAGAGTTGAAGAACAACCTGAGGACTCCTATTATTTATGCTTCTTGATATGAAGCCAAGGATTCTATTAGCTTTATTGCGAACACTTATGCACTGTTGTCTTGGTTTCAGATTACTGCTAACCAGAACTCCTAAATCTTTTTCGCAATCCGTAATATTAAGATCTACATTATTTAGTTTATATGTGGCATGGTTATTGTCCTGTCCAACATTTAGAACTTTGCATTTGTCTATATTAAACTGCATCTGCCACTTCTCCGACCACTGCATCAGTCTATTCAAATCTTCCTGGAGTGCTCGAATGTCCTCGTCAGAATGAATTCGACGGCCTATTTTGGTGTCATCGGCAAACTTGCCGATGTCGCTCTTTATGCCCTCATCTATGTCGTTTATGTAGATTGTGAACAGCAGGGGGCCCAACACTGACCCCTGTGGAACACCGCTCGTGACGCTTCCCCACTCTGATTTCTCCCCATTTATGCAAACTCTCTGCTGCCTATTTGTCAACCATGCCTCTATCCAGGAAAAAATTTCTCCTCCTATTCCATGTGCTTTAATTTTCCTCAATAGTCTCTGATGTGGGACCCTGTCAAAAGCCTTACTGAAGTCCATATACACAATATCATATTCGTTACCATGATCTACCTCCTCAAATACCTTAGTGAAAAAAGTTAATAAATTCGTAAGGCAGGAACGTCCCTTTGTAAAACCATGCTGAGATTCGTTGATTAATTTATGCTTTTCAAGGTGGCTACGAACTGCCTCGGCAATTATTGATTCCATAAATTTTCCCACTATGGAGGTTAGGCTTATTGGTCTATAGTTCGAAGCTAAGGACCTGTCACCTGTTTTGAAAATAGGTATCACATTTGCCATTTTCCACTTATCTGGCACCATGCCAGTTTGTAGTGATATGTTGAAAAGATTAGCCAAAGGTGTGCTAAGCTCCTCTTTACATTCCTTTAGAACCCTTGCATACAGTTCATCAGGGCCTGGGGATTTGTTAGGTTTTAATTTATCTATTTGCCTAAGGACCATGTCACTTGTGACCCTAATAGTGCACAGTTTATTATCGTCCTGTTCTACATAATTTATCATTACTGGAATATCACTGGTATCCTCCTGTGTAAAAACTGAGAGGAAGTATGAATGATATGGTGAATGGTAATATGTGGGCCGGTAATGGTGATAGTGTGGGCCAGTCTGGCCCACACTATCATCCCTATACTCACCAGCCTGAGGCTCGGACACCTCGATATGCATATCATCCACATCTTTCACCAGAACAGGTGTTGTGTCAGGCGCCTCACCGGGCAGTGGCGCGAGAGTGTCAAGCTTGGCAGGTAAACCTGACACCACCGCCATCATTGTTGTCAATATGGCAACACTTTTCTGTAATAAAATAAATTAAAGAAAATAAATATGTTATATTATTATTAAATATTCATGGAAAAATACTAAACCTGAAGGGGTAGGTGGGAATACTTGGTTTTGAGAAAGACCCTCCTTGTATGGGCCAGTAGTCCTGCTACAGTGTTCCTCCAGTCTTATGGAGGTACATTAACAGCAGCTTGCACTACTGAGTCGTGTTGTAACGAAGACAATACTTTATTTTCTAGTTATTTTTTCACTAGTATATATTTGCACATTTATACACTATGTACATAGTCAAACACAAGCCTAAACGTATGAACACAGAAGTAAAGAACCAGTGACTACATTTATAGTTAAAAAAAGAGGTGATTTAAATGCTAGAGACAGCAGAAGCAATGGAGAGGCAGAGATGGACAACGAACGTGGGAGTGCTCTCTCAACTGGAAACAGTGAATACACTCACAAGGAACCAAGGGAGGTAGTTAATGTTACGTGAACCTGCTGAGGGCTTGAGAGGCTTTCTTCTTCAGTTTGAGGCTTGAGAGGGTCTGGGTTGTTAAAAGATCCACAAACGAGGCAACTACCCCATCTAACCAACCCTTTCCTGAGAGGTCGTCTAAAGCTACCTCTCTAATGTGTGGGTTGTTTGTGAATTTTTCCAACCACGGCGACATATCCTCGTCCGTGTCGTGAGAAAAATCACAACACAGGCGAGTTTGAACCCACGGCAAGCCAACCCTAAAACTAGCAGTCCGCTAGTTTTAGGGATGGCCAGCTTAGTAAGAACCATCCAACTAGGTACACCATAAGGTTAGTCTGGGCCACCACTGAGCAGGTTTTTACAGACTAGTTCACACCATTATGCTCAAGTCCTCTCAAAACCGCTATCATGACTTTGCAATCGTCTTATTATGATGTCGTGAGTTAGTGTTAGGGAGTGTGCCAGGGAGCAGTATGAGAGAGCGTGTATATCAGAGCAGTGTGAGGTAGTGTGCCAGGGAGCATAATGAGAGTGTGTATATCAGAGCAGTGTGAGGTAGTGTGCCAGGGAGCATAATGAGAGTGTGTATATCAGAGCAGTGTTAGGGAGTGTGCCAGGGAGCAGTATGAGAGAGCGTGTATATCAGAGCAGTGTGAGGTAGTGTGCCAGGGAGCATAATGAGAGTGTGTATATCAGAGCAGTGTGAGGGAGTGTGCCAGGGAGCATAATGAGAGTGTGTATATCAGAGCAGTGTGAGGTAGTGTGCCAGGGAGCATAATGAGAGTGTGTATATCAGAGCAGTGTTAGGGAGTGTGCCAGGGAGCACTATGAGAGAGCGTGTATATCAGAGCAGTGTGAGGTAGTGTGCCAGGGAGCATAATGAGAGTGTGTATATCAGAGCAGTGTGAGGGAGTGTGCTGGGGAGCATAATGAGAGTGTGTATATCAGAGCAGTGTGAGGGAGTGTGCTGGGGAGCATAATGAGAGTGTGTATATCAGAGCAGTGTGAGGTAGTGTGCCAGGGAGCATAATGAGAGTGTGTATATCAGAGCAGTGTGAGGTAGTGGGCCAGGGAGCATAATGAGTGTGTATATCAGAGCAGTGTTAGGGAGTGTGCCAGGGAGCAGTATGAGAGAGCGTGTATATCAGAGCAATGTTAGGGAGTATGCCAGGGAGCACTATGAGAGAGTGTGTATATCAGAGCAGTGTGAGGGAGTGTGCCAGGGAGCATAATGAGAGTGTGTATACCAGAGCAGTGTTATTGTGTCAGGGCAGTATGAGGGAGTGTCACAGGGGAGGAAATAAAAGGTCCCGACTTGGAAAACCCCACCAGGTGTCCAGCAGTCCGGGACAACGCCCGTCATCAACACACACAGTGGATGGGCGGGGTGGGTAGGTTTATGAGTTGAATGGGTAGATGGGCGAAGCCAGTACCCAAACCCCCGTTTCCCCTTTCCTCACTCACCCATCAATCAATCCCCCTCCCTATCCCTCTCCACTCACGAAACAATCCCCACTCAATTTTTACCATGATTCGTATTAAGTCATTCATTTTTTTACCCAGAAATTCGTGATTCAAGGATTTGCTTGACCAGGAAGAGGAAGAGAGAACCGTCAGGGAGGAAATGTATGTTTTAGCAGTTAGTCAAGTGTGACGCCTTGCTCACTCTCCTCCCATATTACAGTATATATTATACTATTCTCACTCTCCTCCCTCAGTACACTCCAAGGCACGATTACCATTTGATATATATATATATATATATATATATATAATATATATATATATATATATATATATATATATATATATAAAATATATATATATTATGTATTACAGTGCATGACAGTAAATAGATATGCTAAGCTGAGTGCCTATTAGATATACCAAGTATATCCAGTGAATATAAACGGGATACTCCTCTTGAAGCCTATCAGTAGCTTCACTAACAGTAGCTTCACCACCAGTAACCTCACTAACAGTAGCTTCACTAACATTAGCTTCACTAACAGTAGCTTCACTACCAGTAGCTTCACCACCACTAGCTTCACCAGAGTAGCTTCACTGCCAGTAGCTTCACTACCAGTAGCTTCACCACTAGCTTCAGCAGAGTAGCTTCACTACCAGTAGCTTCACTACCAGTAGCTTCACTACCAGTAGCTTCACCACCACTAGCTTCACCATCACTAGCTTCACCAGAGTAGCTTCACTACTAGTAGCTTCACCACCACTAGCTTCACCAGAGTAGCTTCACTGCCAGTAGCTTCACAACCAGTAGCTTCACTACCAGTAGCTTCACCACCACTAGCTTCAACAGAGTAGCTTCACAACCAGTAGCTTCACTACCAGTAGCTTCACCAGATTAGCTTCACTAACAGTAGCTTCACCACCACTAGCTTCACCAGAGTAGCTTCACTGCCAGTAGCTTCACTACCAGTAGCTTCACCACTAGCTTCAGCAGAGTAGCTTCACTACCAGTAGCTTCACTACCAGTAGCTTCACTACCAGTAGCTTCACCACCACTAGCTTCACCATCACTAGCTTCACCAGAGTAGCTTCACTACTAGTAGCTTCACCACCACTAGCTTCACCAGAGTAGCTTCACTACAAGTAGCTTCACTACCAGTAGCTTCACCACCACTAGCTTCACCAGAGTAGCTTCACTACAAGTAGCTTCACTACCAGTAGCTTCACCACCACTAGCTTCACGAGAGTAGCTTCACTACCAGTAGCTTCACTACCAGTAGCTTCACCACCACTAGCTTCACCAGAGTAGCTTCACTACCAGTAGCTTCACTACCAGTAGCTTCACCACCACTAGCTTCACCAGAGTAGCTTCACTGCCAGTAGCTTCACCACCACTAGCTTCGCCAGAGTAGCTTCACTGCCAGTAGCTTCACCACCACTAGCTTCACCAGAGTAGCTTCACTACCAGTAGCTTCACTACCAGTAGCTTCACCACCACTAGCTTCACCAAAGTAGATTCACTGTCAGTAGCTTCACTGTCAGTAGCTTCACTACCAGTAGCTTCACCACCACTAGCTTCACCAGAGTAGCTTCACTACCAGTAGCTTCACTACCAGTAGCTGCACCACCAGTAGCTTCACCACCACTAGCTTCACCAGAGTAGCTTCACTACCAGTAGCTTCAACACCACTAGCTTCACCAGAGTAGCTTCACTACCAGTAGCTTCACTACTAGTAGCTTCACCACCAGTAGCTTCAACACCACTAGCTTCACCAGAGTAGCTTCACTACCAGTAGCTTCACTGTCAGTAGCTTCACTACCAGTAGCTTCACTACCAGCAGCTTCACCACCAGTAGCTTCACTACCAGTAGCTTCACTACCAGTAGCTGCACCACCAGTAGCTTCACCACCACTAGCTTCACCAGAGTAGCTTCACTACCAGTAGCTTCAACACCACTAGCTTCACCAGAGTAGCTTCACTACCAGTAGCTTCACTACTAGTAGCTTCACCACCAGTAGCTTCAACACCACTAGCTTCACCAGAGTAGCTTCACTACCAGTAGCTTCACTACCAGTAGCTTCACCACCAGTAGCTTCACCACCACTAGCTTCACTAGAGTAGCTTCACCACCACTAGCTTCACCAGAGTAGCTTCACTACCAGTAGCTTCACCACCACTAGCTTCACCAGAGTAGCTTCACTACCAGCATCTTCACCACCACTAGCTTCACCAGAGTAGCTTCACTGCCAGTAGCTTCACCACCACTAGCTTCAGCAGAGTAGCTTCACTACCAGTAGCTTCACCACCACTAGCTTCACCAGAGTAGCTTCACTACCAGTATCTTCACCACCACTAGCTTCACCAGAGTAGCTTCACCACCAGTAGCTTCACCAGAGTAGCTTCACCAGAGTAGCTTCACTACCAGTAGCTTCACCAGAGTAGCTTCACTACCACTAGCTTCACCACCAGTAGCTTCACCACCAATAGCTTAACCACCACTAGCTTCACCAGAGTAGCTTCACTACCAGCAGCTTCACCACCACTAGCTTCACCAGAGTAGCTTCACCAGAGTAGCTTCACCACCACTAGCTTCACCAGAGTAGCTTCACTATCAGTAGCTTCACCACCAGTAGCTTCACTACCAGTAGCTTCACCACCAGTAACTTCACTACCACTAGCTTCACCACCAGTAGCTTCACTACCAGTAGCTTCACCACCAATAGCTTAACCACCACTAGCTTCACCAGAGTAGCTTCACTACCAGCAGCTTCACCACCACTAGCTACACCAGAGTAGCTTCACCACAACTAGCTTCACCAGAGTAGCTTCACTATCAGTAGCTTCACCACCAGTAGCTTCACTACCAGTAGCTTCACCACCAGTAACTTCACTACCACTAGCTTCACCACCAGTAGCTTCACTACCAGTAGCTTCACTACCAGCAGCTTCACCACCAGTAGCTTCACTACCAGTAACTTCACTCCCAGCAGCTTCACTACCAGCAGCTTCACTACCAACAGCTTCACCACCAGTAGCTTCACTACCAGCAGCTTCTCCACCAGTAGCTTCACTACCACTAGCTTCACTACTAGTAGCTTCACTACTAGTAGCTTCACTACCAGTAGCTTCACTACCAGCAGCTTCACCACCAGTAGCTTCACTACCAGTAGCTTCACTACCAGCAGCTTCACCACCAGTAGCTTCACTACCAATAGCTTCACTACCAGTAGCTTCACTACCAGCAGCTTCACCACCAGTAGCTTCACTACCAGTAGCTTCACTACCAGTAGCTTCACTACCACTAGCTTCACTACTAGTAGCTTCACTACCAGTAGCTTCACTACTAGTAGCTTCACTACCAGTAGCTTCACTACCAGCAGCTTCACCACCAGTAGCTTCACTACCAGTAGCTTCACTACCAGCAGCTTCACCACCAGTAGCTTCACTACCAGTAGCTTCACTACCAGTAGCTTCACCACCAGTAGCTTCACTACCAGCAGCTTCACCACCAGTAGCTTCACTACCAGTAGCTTCACTACCAGTAGCTTCACTACCAGTAGCTTCACTACCAGCAGCTTCACCACCAGTAGCTTCACTACCAGTAGCTTCACTACCAGTAGCTTCACTACCAGCAGCTTCACCACCAGTAGCTTCACTACCAGTAGCTTCACTACTAGTAGCTTCACTACCAGTAGCTTCACTACCAGCAGCTTCACCACCAGTAGCTTCACTACTAGTAGCTTCACTACCAGTAGGTTCACTACCAGTAGCTTCATACAGCATTCACCACATGCTTCACTACTAGTAGCTTCACCTACCAGTGGCTTCACTACCAGCAGCTTCACCATCAGTAGCTTCCTACTAGTTCACTACCAGTCACTCCCAAGTTCACTACCAGCATGCTTCACTACCAGCATTCACTACCAGTCTTCACTACCAGCACTTCAACCACATCTTCACTACCAGCATCTCCTACCAGCATCTTCACTACCAGCATCTTCACTACCAGCATCTTCACTACCAGCATCTTCACTACCAGCATCTTCACTACCAGCATCTTCACTACCAGCGTCTTCACTATCAGCAGCTTTACTACCAGCAGCTGTCTTCAGCGGCCACTGAATAATCATCATGATTTCTTTCTCACTAACGCCGAACCTGTAAAAGGTGATACAGCTCCTGGGAGACAGGAGGCAGTCAGGTTTCATCCAAACAAGGAGAAGGTAGCTCCAGTTCCTGGATCAAGAATTCCTCACCGGCGTCAAGGCACCTTTTCTTCTCCGCCTTTAAAGAGGTAATATTCTGTTCAATATTTTTGTCTAATATTTTTTCATAAATGTGGCGTAGATGAGACATTTATTTCTCCCTGATGGGATTGGGATGACCCTGGCTTCCTTCCAGCTTAGGAATATCTCCAGATAAATACGCACGGCAGAGCAGACATTTTGACTTTACAAGAGCTATCCCGCAGGGCATACTTGATACTAGTATTCTCAGGTATTGCTGACGGGTCTCATTTTGCTCCCATCCATATTTCAGAATCACTAACTGGCTACAGCTTCTCATTACTGAGCTCTTTATTATCACTGGTTTTAATGTGGTTCATTCTGCACCTCCTTTAATTCCTTTCATCTGGTATAAGAGTTCGTGATCATTGTTTACAAGCTCATCCGTTAATTAATTCTGGTTTTTTCCTAAACGGCCAGATGTGCCGCTCATGGGATGCCAGATGTGCCGCTCCTGGGAGGCCAGATGTGCCTCTCCTGGGAGGCCAGATGTGCCTCTCCTGGGAGGCCAGATGTGCTTCTCCTGGAAGACCAGATGTGCCTCTCCTGGGAGGCTAACTGTGCCTCTGCAGTGGTCTTCCTCCTGCTGCTTATTCTTGACCATATTCCATGAAAATGGTCTGGCGACACTGACAAGATGTGAAAGACACTTATGTACATTTCAGGACATTATTAGGAAAAACGTTTCACAACGAGTGGCGAAACGTTCCCTTTAATAAATGTTCTGAACTCTACACAATTGATTTTTCCACATCATCTTCCGTACCTGATGTGTCTAGTTCCTCGTGTAAACTTGCTGTGGGAGTCTACGTGGCTACTCCTTGGAGATACCTGGAGTATACCAGGAGAGAGTTTCGGGGGTCGACGCCTGCGCGGCCTGGACCGTCACTAGGCCTGGTCAAATTTCTGACTTCTCTAGCTTAAATTATTTTGTTTTACCACATTGGTTGTTTCCCACTAAGAAGATATAATTTTCCTGTCTAATCCCAACCATCAGCCGACACATGACTTCCGGAGAAATGCCATGGCATGGGAATATCATGGTAGCGAGCACACTGCAATAAACTCATCATGGTTCACGGCTCTATGAAGAAAACATTGAACTACACACGTAAAGACAAACTTTTCACTATATACGGTGTTATTAAAATAAACATTTCACTGGGTGTTATGTTATTAATATCAATGCTTTGCAAAGAAAATGATAGGATGGATAATGAGAACTTTCAAAACGAGAGATGCCAAGCCAATGATGATCCTTTTCAAATCACTTGTTCTCTCTAGGCTGGAATACTGCTGTACATTAACATCTCCATTCAAAGCAGGTGAAATCGCAGATCTAGAGAATGTACAGAGATCCTTTACTGCACGTATAAGTTCTGTCAAGCACCTTAACTACTGGGAACGCTTGGAAGCACTTGACTTGTACTCGTTGGAACGCAGGAGGGAGAGATATATCATAATCTACACTTGGAAAATCTTGGAAGGAATGGTCCCAAATCTGCACACAGAAATCACTCCCGACGAAAGTAAAAGACTGGGCAGGCGATGCAAAATGCCCCCAATAAAAAGTAGGGGCGCCATTGGTACACTAAGGGAAAACACCATAAGTGTCCGGGGCCCAAGACTGTTCAACAGCCCCCCATCAAGCATTAGGGGAATTGCCAATAAACCCCTGGCTGCCTTCAAGAGAGAGCTGGACAGATACTTAAAGTCAGTGCCATATCAGCCGGGCTGTGGCTCGTACGTTGGACTGCGTGCGGCCAGCAGTAACAGCCTAGTTGATCAGGCCCTGATCCATCGGGAGGCCTGGTGGGTAGGTAAGACATAGGCAACAGTTAGGCAACTTTATTCCGAAACGTTTCGCCTACACAGTAGGCTTCTTCAGTCGAATACAGAAAGTAGGCAGGAGCAGTAGAGATGTGAAGACGATGTAATCAGTCCACCCTTGAAGTCGTAGAATTTGAGGTTGTCAGTCCCTCGGCCTGGAGAAGTTCAGTTCCATAGTCAGATAGATAACAGATAGTTCCTGACTATGGAACTGAACTTCTCCAGGCCGAGGGACTGACAACCTCAAATTCTACGACTTCAAGGGTGATGGACTGATTACATCGTCTTCACATCTCTACTGCTCCTGCCTACTTTCTGTATTCGACTGAAGAAGCCTACTGTGTAGGCGAAACGTTTCGGAATAAAGTTGCCTAACTGTTGCCTATGTGTCTTACCTACCAACCTGTCGGTATTGTATACCATTTTGATGTTCAGGGAGGCCTGGTCATGGACCGGGCCGCGGGGGCGTTGATCCTCGGAATAACCTCCAGGTAACCTCCAGGTTATCCAGGTAACCAGGTATGACACATAATTATCCATAATACATATGAATGTACCCATGATGTATATGAATAGTCATATACAGATGGATCCGTGATACATATTAGGTATCTTGACTCACGAAATCGTAATAACACAATTACAAACAAAACAGGGAACGGGTGGGGATTGAACCCATGGCTAGTGCAAACGACCATAACTATTGTTATTTCAATCCAGAGCTACACTACAAAGAGGATTGTTTATCCATGTGTAACGTCGCCTCTCAGCGGAGTTCATCCCTCCGGATTCCCGTCACACCTGAGGTGGACCAAGTGCCACTCCTCTCGTTTCATTAATAAGAACTGCGGCTTAAAATGAAGTCTAACAGGAATATTACGTGCACTCATTATTTTCAATTAAACAGATTCGTTAATTCTAAAGATTCTTTTTTTTCACTACACGTAGTGTTATCGAGAAGAACTCACCATTTCGTCGATGTAGGTAGTAGGTAGATGCGGGTAACCCACTGACTGAATGACTGGTGGTTCTCGCACCACTATTTATACGCTCTCCTCCCTGGCCCAAGCATCCCCCTCCATCCTCCAACATACTAACGCTATCATACACCTAGTACTCTGAATTCCTTTCTTGTATTTTACCTGCAGATAGCAACGAATTTGCAATAATGTTGCTACTATACTTCCATCATATACCCTACAGCGTCACTCCAATAAATTCTGCGTCATAGTACATTTATGTACTGATAGTGCAAGAAACCTCTGAGATCTGTGATTATTATTTCTTTCTGATGCCAGATGTAATTCAAACTGAGAAATAAAAAAAAAGTTCTCTCGGCATTTACGAATACTGGAAACCCAGCAGTGACGTCATGACGTTCTTCTTCCACGTACAAAGGATTATTAGTTTCGGTAGCAACGATAAATTTTAAGCGCTTCTCAAGCTCTCCCAGAGAAGTTAGCATGAAGAGAAACTTAGTCTGCGTGTTTAGCAGCCATTCCAGGAGGTGAGGCCTCGAAGACGATAAGGAAATACCTCACATGGCACATGCACATGGCACCCACCCATGGCACCCAAGCCTGCAACCATGCATGGGATCCCGGCTATAGAATACGTTGGACAAGGGAAAACACTGTATTACGGTTTTTCAAGACATTTAAGGGTTATTGGGACAATATTGGAAACCGGTTGGGAGGAGGTTAGTAGGAAAAAGGGTGAGGTTCTTACCCAAACTAGGGTAAGAACCTCAGGAGTGACTGCCCAGGCTTGGGTGAGGACATGCAAGTTGGAGAAGAACTGGGGCATACTAAAGGGTACTGGGAGGAAGAGTGAAGGCAGTGTGTCAAAGCCCTATTGTTACTCTTTCGATACTTTTCCCCACAGTCGCATTATCTGTGAAATTAATAATGTATATAAATTAGTAAAGTATATACTAAATAAGTAAAGTTAGTTAGAAGAAGCCAGTGTTCTTTTATAATATTTAGTTAGGTTAGGTTAGGTAAGGTTCGTCAGGAAACAGGACAAATGTTTCCTGACGCGGGTCTTAGTCAGATGATGACCCGCCTTTGGAGCTTTTGGTCATCTGACCGAGGCCTTCCGCTGGCTTACCGGTCCACCCCTTTAAAAATTATGGTCATTTATAACCATTGTTATATATTATTTAGTAAATGTTAAATCTCGGTCTGTTTTAATATTTTCGTTGTTTAATTGTCCCAGTCCGTCTATTCCATTGTTATTAAGAAATTTGATAAAATATCTATAACTTTACTGTAAGAGGTAAAAGTAGTTAAGTAAGTTTATTCAGGTATACACAAATACAATTACATAGATTATAATACACAGCAGAATAAGTGTAAAGAACCTAGGATAACCCAAAAAAGTCAGACAAAGTGACTTATTTCCATTGAGAAATCAACTAAAATAGTGTTGGAAATTAGCCAGCGACTGAATCACCAGCACAATGATAGATTCTTACCATACTATTGAGCACTGTGGAGGACGAATTGATAGAGTAGTGTAGGTTTAGGTGTCTCAAAGCAAGTGTCGACATACCGTCTGGATTTAAGTACTTCCGTGATCATATAAGCTAGTGAGCACTTTCGTGACTAAAATCATTTGTGTGGTTCCTTGACTATGTACTTCCGTGTGTATACTCAACCATTTATGGTTGCAGGTATGTGTATGTTATACATTGCCATTGATCGTGTGGAAGTCTAATTATAGTTTTTTTTTTAGCTCACTTGTTTTACATAATCAGGAATAAAGTACTGGTTCAAGGCTTAATCACTGCGGAACCCCAGTTGGTATTCAGACCTAACTTGGTATGATTCTTCACACTTTGTATTCTCTTTTTTCAGTTACTCCTTGAGTCAGTGGATCACTCATCCTGTCGTCTCTCTCTGTGCTTCCAGCTTGACTCAGTGTCCCCTAGAACAACAAAGAAAACCTGACATACTGTGGAACAGACCTGGGAAGCTGGGACACTCCAGACCTGGGATGCTGGGACACGCCAGACCTGGAAAGCTGGGACACGCCAGACCTGGAAAGTTGGGAGACTCAGCTCACTTGGGGGACGTGATTGTCCTCAGATGTCGGGGAATTCCTGAACCCTGCGGATGCTGCTCCACACACACACACACTTCACTTAAGGAAAAGAATCTTGGGGAAGTGTAATACCGAGCAAATCTCCTGAGGCGAACACTAACGAAATAACTGCTGCAGCATATGGGCGCCTGGCAAACCTAAGAACAGCATTTCGACACCTGAGTAAGCAATCGTTCAAGATTCTGTACGCCATGTACGTCAGGCTCATATTGGAGTATGCAGCACCAGTATGGAACCCACACCTGGTCAAACACGCCAAGAAATTAGAGAAAGTTTAAAGGTTTGCAACAAGACTAGTCCCGGAGCTATGAAGTATGTCCTACGAGAAGAGATTAAGGGAACTCAACCTAAAGAGACTGGAGGACAGGGGGGATAGGGAACACATGATAAAGACATAAAATACTGAGAGGAATTCACAAGGTTGATAGGGACAGAATGTTTTAGAGATAGGATACGGCAACAAGGGGTAAAAACTGGAACTTGAAAATTCAAATGAGTCACAAGGATGTTATGAAATATTTCTTCAGTTATAGAGTTGTCAGGAAGTGGAATAATCTGGAGAGTGATGTAGTGGAGGCAGGATCATACATAGCTTTAAGAAAAGATACGATGAAGCTTATGGAGCAGGGAAAGAGTGAACTTAGTAGCGGTCAGCGAAGAGGCGGGGCCACGAGCTGTGAATCGACTCCTACAATCACAAAAAGGCGAGTACAAATAGGTGTAGTATACACAGGAGCTGTGACTCAACCCTTGCAATCACAAATAGGTGATTACAAATAAGTGAGAGGACACACACACACACACACACGCTAAATGGAAACTAAAATGGTAACTAACACACACAGAGAGAGAGAGAGAGAGAGAGAGAGAGAGAGAGAGAGAGAGAGAGAGAGAGAGAGCAGCATAATGATGTCAACGAGATAAAGTCAGTTGATCAAATGAAAATACTGGCCCACAGATGGCTCCAACTTCATCCTGTTCCCTACTTGTATGTCTCATAACAATAAAAATGCTTTCAAATGAGCTGATGTAGGTAACATTTAGCTTAAATAAGTTAGGAATCCTTACCTGTAAATGCTTGCAATAAAGCTAGGGATCCTTAACCTTGTCAAACCCTGTGTAAAAAAAAAAAAAAAAAAAAAGAAGAGGAGTAGACGAGAGAAGAAGAGTAGAGAAGGAGAAGGAAAGAGAGAAGAGAGAGAAAAAGAAAGAGAGAGAGGAGAAGAAAGAGAGAAGAGAGAGAGAGAGAGAGAGAGAGAGAGGAGAGAAGAGAGAGAGAGAGAGAGAGAGAGAGAGAGAGAGAGAGAGAAGAGAGAGGAGAGAAAGGGAGAGGGAACTAGGAAATATTATAAATAATACTGAATGAGTAACAATGAGGATTTTTTTTTTTTTGCTCATTTTACCTTAGAGGGAGACTGCCGATGAGGTCTAGTACTACTACTACTACTACTACTACTACTACTACTACTACTACTACTACTACTACTACTACTACTACTACTACTACTACTACTACTACTACTGCTACTACTACTACTACTACTGCTACTACTACTACTACTACTACACTACTACTACTACTACTGCTACTACTACTACTACTACTACTACTACTACTGCTACTACTACTACTACTACTACTACTACTACTACTACTACTACTACTACTACTACTACTGCTACTACTACTACTACTACTGCTACTACTACTACTACTACTACTACCACTACTACTACTACTATTACTATTACTGCTACTAGTAATAATAATAATTAGTAATAATAATAATTTCAGTATACAAATAAAAAACAGTAAGCACAGAGATACAATTTATGAGTAAAATAAACCACATAACTTTTATTGCATGCAAAACAAAATAATAACATTAAGACAGTACTGGAAACTACATCAGCCAGGTGCAGGAGGATCCGAAAATCTCGCCGATGCTCTCACGGAGATAAGATTGATTGATTCTCTCTCTTTATTATTTCCTCTCGACAAATATATTCAAGGTACGACTGGATTTTCTCGAGAAAATTATGTCAACCTCTAGAGCGATGAAATGAGAGGCGGAATTTAACGCCATTCTGGGAATTACTGATGGCGATGATGCAGTATGTGGGAGAATTGTTTCTTTAACAAGGATTTGAATAGAGTTTGCAAGGAGTGGCATAGCGTTTAGAAGGAGTAGGATTGCATTTATAGAGTGGGAAAACGTAAAAAAAAAAAAAAAAATAGAATTTACAAGAAGTGGGAAAGCGTTCGCAAGGACTGATTTAGAAATTACCCGGAGTGAGGCATCATTAGCGAGGAGCAAGAGAGTATTCACAAAAAGTGAGAAAGCCTTTGCAATTAGCGAGATAGCTAAATAAAACACGTATGCAACACCTGGCTATCTTTAATGAATCTAATACAGAGGAGTGAGACCTCTATACTGGAGCCCGTGGAAGTAGTAGGGGAGAAGCAGCAGCTAAAGACATTGTTATACGTGGGCGGGGGCTCTCTAGGGAAAAGTACGTTAAACCCATAAGGTGAACCAGCAATTTAGCAATGGAGTTGTAGAAGATATTCTATGGTCTAAGATTCCGTGTTGTAGCTGTGTCGGGCAAGTATCATCTCACCATATTTTCTACAACTCCAGTGTTATGATCCAGACCTGCTTTCACTAGTGGTCCTCATCCACCAAATAAATTACGTAAAGGTAGACTTATGTGATGAATAATTATAACAAATAAAATATTAAATCAAACTGTATTTTGAAATCTTTGGCCTCTTAAAATTTAAATAACATCAAATTATTGATGGATAGTTGTGCAAATAATAAATCGGGAAATAATAATGATTTCATAATATAAAAGTTAACTAGGGGATATACTAATAATTAGTTATATATCTCATAGTTTATCTAGACAGAGAGTTTACCTTAATCCCTATTTTAGTGATTAAAATATTCTTGAACGTGAGTGTACAG